AAGATAAAGAAGGGAGAAAACAGTGAACTGGAGAAATCAGAAAAGACTTTATAAAGAGCATAAGACTTTAGCTAGACCTTTAAGGATGGGTGGGATTTAGAAATAACCAAAATCAAATATCTGGACTATAATATTCTGGCTATTAAGATGGCTATCTGGGCACTATTAAGGGCTCAATCTCTCTGGCATGAAAAAAAGAAAAAGCTGAACTGGTCTCAATGTAAGCAGCATCTAAGAGAGTTCAGTTAGATTATCTTCTGACCCCCTTTTGACAACCTCTCAGTGAAAAGACGAAATGTTCAAAAATCTTTGGATTTTTGGGGGTGTTTGTTCCCAAAGTCAGATTCCTTTCAGATGTATTTAGTTATTCCTGTTGCTGCTGTTCAGTCCTTTACGCTGTGTCCAGCTCTTTGTGAGCCCATTTGGGGTTTTCTTGGCAAAGATATTGGACTACACCTGCCCTCTTTGCCATTTCCTTCTCCAGTTCATTTTATAGATGAGGAAACTGGGACAAACAGGGTTAAATAACTTGCCCAGGGCCACACAGGCAGTAACTGTCTGAGGCCAGATTTTAACTCAGGAAGATGAGTTGTTCTGACTCAGACTCCATTCTGCTGCACTTGTTATTCCTGTGGATGTCCTTAAAGCTCACCCCTCAAAGTAGTTTGTAGGACCACAGACTATTGTGAAAGATTATGGGCTTGATATCTTAGCCTCTGACTTTACTGTTGGCTTATAATCTACTGTTGGCTTATAATCAAGATAAGTACTTGAAAGCTTATAAAACACTTTGTTCAAAAAAAATCCAATCATGTAGATAGAAAAATATCAGGATCATAGATCATAGATTTAGAGAAAGAAAGAAACATAGAGGTCATTTAGTCCAATCCTATCACTCTGCAAATGAGAAACAGGTTAAGAAGGGTTAAGTAATGAGCTAAAAGGCACACTGCTAGTAAATATTTGAGGTGGGACTTAAAGCTGGGTTTCCTGACTCTAAGACAATCCTGCTTTCTGTAGAATAAATAACCAGCACCATGGATAGAGCCTGAGAAGTCAGTGAGAACATTCTATGAGCAGCAACTGAATGTCAGATGCCAGGGGTCATAAACCCAAAGTATTTCACTCAGAGGCGAGATCTGACATACCTATGACAACTGTAAGTGAAGGGTGCTGTTATCCCCAACTGAATATATTCATGAGCCACTGGAGCCTTGCCTGGCCCACCCACTGGCTTAAGGAGTGAGCTGCCTGGACTGAACGTTGCAGTTACCCCAACTGCCACAGCTATGGTGATCCGGCAAATTTATCCCCTCTCTCTTTCCTCCCCACTCCCTTTAAGACTGCTGCCTGGCAAATTGGCAATACTTATTCTCTATTGCTCATTTGCTGTATATATTTTATAATGGGTTTTATCTCCATATGAAGATAAGCTGATTGTTATTGCATTCGGAGTATGTGCTACAAAGGAGTGGACCATGCAATGGAGAAGGGAAAAGGGTACCCACGGACCAACAGTCCTAGATGTAACTATGAGTCTATATTGAAGCTCCATCTTTCTCTGGAGACAAAAAAGGAGCTTTGAATATAAGCTTCTTGAGGGAAGGAATTGTCTTGGCTTTTGTATTATTCCTAGCACCTAGCTTGGTATTTAATAGATGTTTTTGCACTCACTTATTTGCAGGAGAAGGGCCAATGGAAATGCTTTTCCAGAAACCCCCAGGATGCCTGGCCTACTCTATTATGTTAATACACATGGTATGTAAACTCTATACCACTCTTGGCCTCTGTCAACTTTATACTTTCTTTGTAGGCTAATTATGATTTTGAAAAAGTATTCCTCAAAGGTAAATGCCTGGGGTTTGTCACAACTGACATTTACATGCCACTTACAAAGATTTCAGTGATTTTCAAAGGCTAATTTCTCTGAGGGGGAGGAACAAAGGGAATGCTTGTGGGGGGAGGGGAAGGTGGTGCCGGCTTGTGCAGCTCAGGCTCTATTCACACCTGTGGCTACAAAGGCGTAGGGACAGGCACCAGACCTGTGACTTCATTAGTACTAGGAGGAAATTCCCTTAAGAATGTAGGCTGATGCCTTTTCTGCAAGGACTCTTGCTCAGAGTACCACCACTAAAATGAGAGGTGATCCTCAAACCCAAGTCTTCCTACAGAGGCAGTCTTATCTTGGCTTTGAGTGAAACTCTCAATCCACCATTCCATGCTGCCTCTCATGACTACCTAACCATGTTAAATGTCAAGGGCGCTTACTGAAACAGAAGTTTGTTTTAGAAATTAGAGCTATCACAATGAACCAAAGTCTAGTGCCCAAACCTGCCATCTTGACTGAGGCTAACCTTTCATTGTCTTGAAAGGTCATCAGACTTGAGGAATTGCTAAGTGAGATTTTTCACTTAACTGAAACAGACAGCTTAGATTTTCTGGATGAACTTCCACATTAATGTAGCAAATCTGCTAGACTAGGACCCCAAAAGATTTAGGGAGTTGAAAAAACTATGAAACCTTAAGATCTCAGGTGGAGAGTAGGGAAGGGAAAAAGATCAAGGTAAATAACCACATAATTGACTCACAATCCAGTGAAAATGAACATCCATAAGATCAGCTTACCTTAGCTGATGGAACACAGTCTCCCTAATCCTTGGCTAGAGGAGGAGACATATGATCAAACCTCAGTCTGGGTCCGTTAATGATTCTTTTTTTTATTTTTTAAAATTTTATTATTTTTTAAAATTATTTATTTATTTATTTTTTTAATGAGTGTTTTTTAAAACTTTGGGTTACAAATTTTCTCCCTTCCTCCCTCCCCACCCACCCTCATTGAAAAGGCAAGCATCTCGATACAGGTTGTAGATGTGTAGTCATGCTAAACACTTCCACAGTAGTCCTGTTATGAAAAACTAAGCATATTTCCCTTCATCCTATCCTACCCCCCATTTATTCTATTCTCTCTTTTGACCTTTAATGATTCTTGCATTTATGTGTTGATGCAATCAGTCAGTCAACAAACATTTAGGTCCTTACTATGTATCAGGCACTGTGCTAAGTGTTAAAGATACAAGGAAGGCAAAAACATGGTCCCTGCCTTCAAGGTGTTTACATTCAAATACAGAGAGTAAATAGTAATAATGAAAAAGGAGAAGACATTAGTAGCTGGGGCCTCCTATATTGGAGTTAAGTCTTGGAGGAAGCCAGAGAAACTAAGAGGCAGATGTGACGGAGCTAACATACACTTCCTCTATTTGCAAGTGCTGGTGTTGTGGGAAGCATCTCCAGGATATCTTGGGCAAGCAAGTTTACCTCACCAGGCCTCTATTTTGCAAGATACGGGGTTGGACTAGAGAATCTCAAATATCCCTTTCAGCTCTAAATCTGTGATCCTTGGAAGCAATAAGCAATGGGCATGGGAATGGACTCAGTTCTAAGTTAAGCCTATGGAGGCAGTGTGGTACAGTGGGCAAAACAGACAAAAATGGCTCTGGAGTCTGAAAACCTGGGTTCAAATCCCACTTCTGACACTACCTGGGCATGTTACCTAACTTACATGGGTTGCAGTGTCTTCAACTGTAAAATGTGGGGGTTGGCAGAGATGGTCTCTGAAATTCATGAGAAAGCTAGGTGGCAAAGGGGATAGAGTACTGGACCTGGAGTCAGGAAGACTTGAATTCAAATTCAGCCTCAGACACTTACTATAACCTTGGGCAAGTCACTTAACCTCTATGCCTTAGTTTCCTCAATTATAATATGGGGATAATAATAACACTTACCTCCTGGGGTTGCTGTGTGGGATCAAATGAGATAATATTTGTAAAGCATTTAACATAGTGCCTGGCATATAGTAGGTATCATATAAATGCTTACATTATTATTATTACTATTGTTACTACTATTATTATTTCTTTTCAGCTCTACAGTAACGATCCTAAATTAACCACTAATCACTGAGTATCTACTGTATGTCCAGCCTTTGACAAGCTTTTATTATAATTACTAGAAACTGCTATTTGATAAATGAATTTTCACATCCTAGGCTAGAGTTACAGCAAAGCTCAAACAATACCCAGCAGATACTGGGCCTCAGTGTTCATTCTGGCCTCAACAAGTTCAGTCTGTGATGTGTATGATTAAGCCATGACTTTGCTGCACCTCCATACCTGACCTACTTCTTTTCTGGAATTCTATGTGCAGAAGCAACTAGGGTAATGCCACCAGAACTTTGATCTAAGGAAGAAAATTCCAGGGGGCCAATAATACTTTTCAGTAGCATATTTTCTATTCTGCTTTGTTCTGCCCCCAGCCTCTTCCCAGGGGGGTTTGCAGATCCATTCTGGATCTTAGAAACCTCATGGTATATACCAGGTGGGCTTTCTCCCCTGATGGCCACATTATGAATGATCACTACATCTTAGTTGCTGCCTCTACTCTCCCTTTCCTGGCCCAAGTGAAAAAAAAAGGCTAATTCCAGTTCTGTATATATGGGTACATGTATCTGGGACAAGGCATAGAAGTGGCAGAAAAGACCCCATTCTGAATAGGTATGGATAGAACTCTTCTCGTAAACCCTTCTAAATGAGCCTTAGAAACAAATTTATTCTCCACAACATTTGAGATCTTAGCTCAGATCTAACCTTTTCATATGAACCAAAGCCACTACTAGAGATAACTCCCAATCAGGATATCTTTGAGGGAAATACTATCTTCCAATAAATACAATTGTCATTATTTTAACAAAAGATATTCCTCTATTACAGGTGTGCTTTGCTTTAAAGAAATTCTGATGTTCAAAAAACCCTAACCCTAACTTCCCCAAAAGATCAATTATGGGATCAGGTCATATAACAGTGGAGAAACCTTTTGAAGAATGTTCCTGAGAAGCTTATGCTGACAAATACAGAATGATTAGAAATTAGAAATAGAATGATTAGAATATTGGGATGAAAACATATTACTGGTATGTGCTATGGGGAAAACATAAGGTAGCAAACCTCATCCTTGGATCATCTGGTGGTGTCATTTCCAGATCATGGGTAGGTCCATTTAAGCCGATGACATGTAAGGAAATGCTTGGATTTTCACATCCAGCCTAGGACACAAAAAGGAACAGGGATATTATCAGGAATAATTGAGACATTATGTTTTTTGCCTTGTAAAGGGTTTTCAGATTTATTTCATGGGCTATGCAAACTTATGAACACCCTCAAGACATGCTCCAGGACATTTAATTCTCATTAGAAAATGGCTGAGATACTCTATGTTGGGACATTTAACACTCACCTGGAGGCTGAGATAGGAAATATAGGGGATTGAACTGATTTTCTTCCTTCCCAATTTCCCTTCTTTCTCCCCTTCTCTCTACAGCACTTCCCCCATGTTTATTGTCCACATCCCTTATCATCTCCCAGAGAAAGAAGAGAGAAATCAGAAGAAAGTAAAGAAAAAAGGAGCAGCAGGATGACAGAACAAAGGGAGAATTACCCAAGAGCACTTCTCCCTGCTTACAAGTGGGATGAAGTTAAGGTCTTCCATAAAAGGTCTAGTGCATTGTTTTGCTTTGAACTCCTCTACTACTCCAACCACTGCCAGCTGGGTGGTGATGTGCACCCACCAAACATATTACAGGCCCAAAATACAACTGCTTGGGCCAGGAAAGAAAGAATAGAGGACACAGAAGAAAGAACATCAGTGGATGGCCCAGAGGGTGAGCTTACCAACCTACTGGCAGTGTATGGCTTCAGTAATATGCAAAAAATATATTACCGATTCCTAAAATGCTTGGGCTCAGTAAAGAAATAAGTCAAATACATTTTTCAATAGGTTGAGGACTTTTATTTTGAGGATCAATTCTAGGACAAGGGACCACAACATACTTTCTGACTGGAATATGAAGGAGACCTTCTATTTAAACCACAAGTCACCAGCTCTTCAGAATGCTAGGGTTTAGCATATTTCATATTTCCTTGGGTTTATCAGAAACTGAATGGGTGAAATGAGGGATCCCTACTTTTCCATTTTTTTTTCCAGAGTGTGAGGAATGATTTGTCATACATTCAGGGAGATACTAGATAGGAAGATATTCATGCTGTATTTCTCACACTACAGAGCTCAAAGACTGGTTGAAAGAACTGGTGATGTTTAGTGTGGAGAAGAGAATACTTTTCAAATATTTGAAGGGCCATCAGGTAGAAGAAGGATTATATTCCTCTTGCTCAGTTCCAGAGGGGGATACGAGAAGGAATGATTAGAAGAGGCGGAGAGGAAGTTATAAATTTGATTTAGGAAAGCCCTTCTTAACAGAACTCTCCAGAAGTGACATGGACTATCCCCAGGAGATAGTGAGATCCTCTTCCCAGAGGTCTGTAAGTCAGGTCTGGATGCCTGCTTTTGTGGCATGTTGTAAAGGACATTTCTCCTCAAGTAAGAAATAGGCTCACAAGGTCTCTGAGCTTCTATAAAATGGTGACATCCTGGTACATTTCTCCCTTTACTTCCCCCCACTAAGCTCTGCTACTGGCTGTAGAATCAATTGTATCTACCCCTGGATGGTGGCCACTATAGCCATCAGTTGTACACATAAGTATTCTCCCTTTAGTTTCATACAAGTGAACTGCCATTGTATGTTACTGGAAAGAACACTGAGCTAAGAGTCGGGAATCCTGAGTTCTGGTTTGAGCCCTGCTATTGATTTGCTGTGCGACTTGGAATAAGTAACTTAAACTTTCTTGGTCTAAATTTCCTCATCTGTAAAATGAGGAGACTGGCTAGATGATCACTAAGGTCCCTTTAAGCTCTAAATCCTATAAATATTCTGTGATTCATGACTGAAGGAGGGAAGAAGAATGAGGGTGGGAGGCAGATGTAGTCACCAATTCAGAGGGAAAACAAGGTTTTTTTTTTTACTCTGTTCTGAAGTTTAGTTAAATGACTAACCTCAGTTTAGACAAACACAAAAGGTAAATTTACCAACCATCAAATTTAACTAAACAAAGATGGCAATTTAATGAGAAATAATTAATCTTTTCTCTGTTTACTGTAATGTTCATAAGCATCTCTGATTAGCACATTTCCACATCTGAGTCAGCTGAGAGGAGAAAGACCTATGAATAATGCAAACAATCAGTTCAGCAAAAGGAAAAGCCAAGAGCTATTTCTCTTACCTTGGGATAATGATAAGGCTTAACAGTGGGGTAGACAGCGCCAGTGTAGGTGGGCAGGTCCATGACCGGCACTCGGGAATCATTGATTGTGGCATAGGCTAACCTAGTCCCATCTGGAGACCACCAGTGCGCAATGTGAGTCTTTAAAATCTCCTCTGAGGAAAAGGAGAGAAAATAGAGAAAGATGAATAGGATACAGAGGGAGTAGAAATCAGTTAAAAGCCATTACAAATGGTATGACATCCAAGAAAAAACACTACCTTCACTTCTAGGTGGCACAGTGGATAGAACACTGTGCTTTGTAATGTTAACTCTTATTATATCCTCACAGTGTCTTGTGTGGTTTCATCCATTTCATGGTATCCAATAAGTTTGTGATGATAATAATCACAGCTTAGAGAAACATTGCCCAATTCATAGATTTATTGAATATCTACTACACACTGAGCATCACGTTAGGTGCTGAGGAGACAAAGATATAGTGATATACTGCCCTCAAGGGGCTTGTATTCTTCCAGAAGATATCAAACCCCTAATCTCTAATAGAGCCTTCAAAAATTCAGCTATGATGACTCATTTGAATAGTCGATTTTTGGAGGGTGACATACCAAAGATCAAGTAACACACAGCTGAGTCTGGATCTGAGACCAGGGCCTCTGATGCCAAAACGTGCTCTTTTCACTATACCACATTCTACCTCACATCCTTGAGCACTTCTTAAACTGTGGGTCATGACCCCATATGGGGTCGCAAAAAATTTGGCAATAGTTAAAGGTTTCTGAATGTGCAACGATCAAAAATTAATTAAAAATCAGAAGCATAATGAACCTGAGGTGTTTCTGGCAGCACTTGCCTGTGCTGCATCCCCCAACTTCACTACAGCCTTGGTTCTGAACACAAAGCATGCGCACTTTGCACTGTGCCTGTCTTCAGGCCGTATAATGTCAACAAATGCGGCCAAAACATGAAAAGGGGTCACAAGTGGAAAAAATTTAAGAAGCCCTGTCCTATACAACCTATAGTTCTCATTGGATATGGGCAGAATGTGAAGTTCTGGGACTCAGTGAGATCCTACTTCCTCAAAGGTAAATTTCATTCTGATCACTATACTAAAGCAGGAAAAGAAATCTTAGAAAAAATTCACAAAGGTTGAAACAAAAAAAATTTATGGACTCATCCTCAGTTATCTGATTTTGGATTGGGAGTTTTATCAGCAGAGGCAAATAGTAGTCAATCAGTTGGTAAATCAATAACATCTATTGAGTTATTGCAGAAGCACTATTGAAGGGACACCTGGGCTATGTTCTACTATGTCCTTATGAAATTTATAAGCTAGTTGGGGAGATAGACTCTCTATCGTAGCTTGACAAGGAAGACACGGCTACATGTAGGCCTCAAAGTAAGGGGCACATAATCTATGGCACCCTATTGCATACACGGGGAGGTAGATGGCATGATGGGTAGAGAGCTAGATTTGGTATCAGGTATCAGGTCCAAATCCTATCTCATATACATACTAGCTACACAATGCTCTCAACCTGAGATTCCACATCTGTAAAATGTGGATAATAATAACACTCACATTGCAGCAGGGTGGTTATGAGGATCAAATGAGATAACACACATAAAATACTTTGCAAACTTTAGAAGAATATAAATGTCACTTGTTATTAATATTAATAAAGAGCATCTACCATACATATCTGACCATTGCAAGATTAGAATCATTCATAGTAGTCAAGCTACTTTCCAAACAGATTTTAATAGAGTTGATCACAAGTGAAAGATCTATAGGAGGAAGAGAGGAAAATGGAGAAAAAACACAAATAAGGAAAAATGATCTGCAATTTGCCCATGTCTTTAGATGGCTGGGAAAGTGACTTTCAAGTTCAAGTTTGGCAATGAGGTGCACTGAAAATGACTTTGTAGAGTTATCTAACCTATTATCTTGGAACGGTGAATATAGAGATTCCAGCAGATGGAAAAAAAAGGCACCAATTGTGATGCAATGAAATTTTTTGATGATTCTGCTCCAGCAGGATGGTACTGAAGGGCTAAAATGAAATGTAACTAAAAGCCTACTTGAATGATAGCTAGAAGTGAGCAAAATTCAAGGGAAGGAAGTGAAGAGGGAAAAAATGGGATGAACAGAGAGTAGCATACTAAAAAAAAATTACATACCAACATCCAACAATAATGAGTCTTGAAGCAGTTTTCAAAGGACATTAATTCATACCCAACTCATAAAAATCCAGAATAGATGTTTGAAATGATTGACTGCAACAGAGAAGTTCTTGAATACACCTGATTCTCAACTAATCAAATGAGCCTTGCTAGCTACGTGACCCTGGGCAAGTCACTTAACCCTGTTTGCCTCAGTTTCCTTATCTGTAAAATGATCTGGAAAAGGATATGCAAACCACACTAGTATCTTTGTCAAGAAAACCCCAAATGGGATCATGAAGAATTGGACAAGACTGGAAACAATTAAACAAAAACAATACCTCTTTTGTGAGTTCAGAACCATCTACTCAAGTATGGAGGGGAGACAAGACAGCCCCCAAGTCTACAGACGGTCAAACTATATTCTTAGGCTGGGCTGGCAAAGCCATATGGGTCATGTTGTATAAAGGCAGATTCTTCTAATAACCCCCTCAACTCTCAATTAAGATTCCACCAGTAGTATCAAATTCAAATAGAAACAGGGCCACTAAACCATACAGAAGGATCCCTGTGGGCTACATGTTGACTTAGAAAACCACATATTAACATCATCTATGTTTTATTATATTTTTATTTATTTTGTTAAATATCTCTCAATTACATTTTAATCTGGTTCCAGATGCATTTGGGAGTGTCATGGGCTACAATCATCTAGGAGGTGGGGGTTTGATACCTCTGCTCTACACCGTTCACCTTCTGAGGTTTCATCTTGCAGGGATTCTCAATTTTTTGTGTGTGTCATGGGTCACTTTGGAAGTCTGGTGAAACCTATAGATCCCTTTTCAGAATAATGTTTTTAAAAGCACAAAATTAAATAATATAGGATTATAAAGGAAAACAATTATGTTGAAATAGGGGTCACAATACTAAAAAAAAAACCCCAAAACAAAAACAAAAACAAAAACATGGATTCCAGGTTAAGAACCTTAATTAGAAGATAATAACGACAATTTATAAGATGCTTTAAAGTTTACAAAAATATTCATGTGTATTATCTCATTTGAACCACACCACAATACTGTGAGGTAGGTTACCTAAAAATATCGTGCATTCAATTGTTTTCAGTTGTGTCTGGCTCTCCATGACCCCTTTTGGGGTTTTCTTGGCAGGGATACTGGAGTGGTTTGCCATTTCCTTCTCCAGCTCATTTTACAGATGAGGAAATTGAAGCAAATAGGGTTAAGTGACTTGCCCAGGGTCATATAGCCAGTAAGTGTCTGACACTGGATCTGAACTCAGGAAGATGAGTCTTCTTGACTCTGGGCTCAGCACTCTATCTCCTGCACCACCTAGTTGCCGAAAAAAGTATTATCACTCCAGTTTCATAGATGAGAAAGTTGAACTGAGAGAGATGAGATGTGTTCATGATTCATGAACATCAGGGGCAGAGTTTGAACTCAGATCTTCCTTATTCCAGGTCTAGTACACTAATCTCTATGTCACAATGCAAAGCAAACTTGGAGGAGATCCTGGAGGCTGGAAGCCCAGAGGCGTAGGGCAGGCCTGGAAATCACAAACCCAGTAGACTACTGGGTATTCGTCCGGATAGCATCAGAGTTCCTTTAAACCCATTTTCTTCTTGAGACAACCCAAGAAAAGGAGATAAGCAGATACATAGTAGCACATTACAGACCTAGAATCTTCTTTTTCTCCCAGGTTCAGGGTTTTTATTTGGCAGGTTTAAGAGAAATGAGCTGGGACACTTTTAAGCACTTTGGACACCGAGAGCTTGGGACGCTCAAGTATCTTTTTATCAATAGCAAGAAAAGATTAACCTGTTACTGTATAACTCTAATACCATCCAGAAATTAGTTTTGGATCAAGTTCAAAGCTTCCATATATGAGAGAACAAACATAGGAAAATAGTCGCTTCTGTTTGTGTTATGTAAGATGGATTCCAGGTGCAGCTAGGTGGTACAGTGGATAGAATGCCAGGCCTGCAGTCAGGAAGACCTGAGCTCAAATCCAGCCTCAGACAGTTACTAGCTGTGCAACCCTAAGCAAGTCACTTCACTTTGTCTGCCTCAGTTTCCTCATCTGTAAAATGAGGTGGAGACGGAAATGGCAAACCACTCCAGTATCTTTGCCAAGAAAACTCTAAATGGGATCACAAAGAGTCAGACAGGACTAAAAAACGGCTGAACTTCCTGACTCTAGTCCCAGCTTATTCCAAGAACTCCCTTTTTCTGCTGACCTTCTCTGGCTCGCTGGCTCTAACCAGATCAGCCACCACATTAATCAATTGACAAACAAGGACATAGAAAAGCACCTTCTTTTTGCTGAGCCCTCTAACACAAAACATCAACAGACGTGGCTCTCAAATGAGCCTGCTCCTACTCTTGAACTGACAGTGTTCAGCACTGGTGATGTGAATCCAGCTTCCTGGGTTCCTGATGATGCTTCTGTTTTCAATTTGCTCCAGATCATGCTGATCTCCACGTTTCTGAAGCCAGGATGGTGGCCTAAGTCCAGCTCCTGAGACCTCCCACTGATTAATCTGTGGTTTCATCACTTTGACCCTGGGCCTATATCTTGATGCTGATTAAGTCTGCCATAGCAGCCTTGAAAAGAAGGCTTGGACCTTTGCCTTGATGGGCAGTTCTGCAGGATTACAGATGACAGTTCACCTATTACTTTGTAGGTATATTTTACTTGAACTGAAGTCAAAGATCTAGCAGTTCACTGAGGAGACGGTCTCAGTTACAGTAGTGAGGAATAAATAATTGACATTCTTAGATCCTAGACTCTCAAGTCAAACAAAGCTGGGTTAGCCTTAGTTATTTTCCTAAGTGATGATTCTTTAACACACTGTTCCCTCAGCAGTGGTTGGGTTTTTTTTCTCCTTTTTCTTATATTAGCAGCTCATTAAAGAGATAATTAAGTGTAAGAAACTAAGGAGGAAAAAAGGGACCAAGCAAACGCATTCTTGACA